TTAGATGCAGTCATAAAATAGGAGCAGCAGAGACACAAAGAAAAGTATGTAAGTGTTACCTGGAAGTAGGTTGGGGACAATGGAAATGGCCATAGAGGATATGGTGGTTTAGGCAGGTATTCAAAGGTAGGCAGACTTTCACCATGTGGATAAGATCACTGTGGCAGAGAGACCAGTATGGAGGGAAAGGACCCATACTAGTCAAAACCTAGAAAAGTACACTGGAGCAACTGCAGACGAAGGATTGGAGGGGTAGCCAAATAAGGCCAGACAGATGGGAAGAGGCTTCAAGTGCCACGCTACAATGTTTGGGTGTTATGCTGCAGGAAGGGGAAAGTCTTGTGGAACTTTAAGGAAATGAGTAATATGATTAGATTTGGTTTTAGACATCTCAATAAGTACAACTATAGGGAAGGGACCATAAAGTTGGGTACAACAGAGAAGAGTACAGTGAGGCTGGTCTGGTTGTTACACACCTATGAATACATGCTTGTCCTCTCCTGAGACCACTCAGATCTTTTCCCTTGATTATGTACTAGTGAACTGATTTTTTGAAAGGTGTATGTTGGTGGATGTGTGTATGTGAAATGGATTTGTGCCTAGCATTTCAGCCTGTTACAAGATTCTTCTGTAATAGGATAGTATTATCGAATTAGCTCTCCCTCTCAGCTTTCTATCATTTTCAAATATGACAAGAATGTCTTCTAATTCTGTTTAATAGATGTAGCATTCATTCCTATAGCATAAAGTTCAAACTTTTTATCATAATACGTTACATAAAATATTGATATCCTGACACCAGTCTTTCTAGCTCATCTCAAGCCCTTCTCTCCACACCTTATGTTTTATCACATCAAACTACTTTTGATTTTGTTCAGGCCTTATATTTTCAAATGTTTATACCTTTGCCAGTGCCGTTCCAGCTGTCTGAAGGACTATCCTACCCCCTAGACAGGATTCCTAACTTTTCTTCATATTTTTACCTAGCTCATTATAGTATTTTCATAAGACGTTCTGCTTGACCTTGGCTAGAAGGGCAGGGACTCAATTCTATTTATCTTTTTGTCCTGGAGTATCAAAACATAGTGGATGGCATATTGTTGGAGCTAACTAAATCAAGTTTATTTTGCAAAACAAAATCATAGCATGCTAAAAATATAAAGCATGAACATATTCTTTGATTCTCTGCTTTGTAAATTATTAAACAATCAACAGTTAATGTTTTCCTGCCTTTTTTAGTAAGGGTTTATTGACTACAGGGAGCTCTATTTTTAGAACACAAAAAAAAAATGGACTCTTACTAGCGCTCATTTTTTTTTTTTTAAGAGAAGCTATCGAAGCAAAGTCCTAAACTTTCACTGTCTCTAGTGATCATTTTAGTACTTCTAGGCACTAATGAATCAAGCATTTATAAACTAAACGTTAAATGTGTACATCAAACTTTTTAAATTTGAATTTTATTTTAAATATCAAACACTTTCCTCTTTTGAGCTACAATATTGAGCTCATCTGTTTTTGATTGGAATATAAATAACTCAACTAGGAACTAAAAACCTTTAAAGATGAATCAATAATACCACTTTCCTATCAGCCAAATATAGTGCTATTAGAGTTCTGAAAAATGAAAAGACAAGACCATTCTTAGTTGATTATTATTTTTTAAAAAGTCTACATTTTTAATGTAGCCAGTACTAAACACTTAGGTCTGTGGAACAACTAAGGACAAACAGCTGTAATATATACATTGTGATCATAATGTATCTCAATAGGTTTAAAAGCCCTTTCCAGATAAGAGTGTTGCTGTGGAACATGTTTAGATTGAGCATGTAGATAAGATAAATGTCAAGTGTTTAGTCTTTCATAGACACTCTCTCTCTCTCTCTCTCTCTCTCTCTCTCTCTCTCTCTCTCTCTATATATATATATATATATATATATATATATATATTCTATCTATCCTCTAGTATCTTGTTGTTTGAGTTCTATACTTTCTTGACTTTGGTTGAAACGATTACACACTGATGATGCCTGGACTCATTTTCAGAAAGACATAAATCTATGCAAGCACCAAGATAAATTTAAATGTTGTGATTAAACCTGTGTTTAAACACATTTTTCTGGGGCCTGACTGTTTTTAAATGCTTAAACATTGGGTGTGGGGTAGATTTTTAGAATGATTCTCATAATTAAATGTTTAGTTCTTTTTTTTTTTTTTTACTTAAACTCCTCAGATTAAATCTTTTAAAACTAGAATAAAGATATATATACCCATAACAAATTAGCATTCATTGCACTTGTAAAACACAGCATTTATGTCGTCTGATAAACCTTTTCTTGAACTAAAATCTAACATTTTACATTATAACAAATTTACAGGGTATCCTGCTTGCCTCATTGTTTTCTGCCTCCATCCCTATTTTGCTATGCAAAAGCTTTATGTCAATTTACTTTTTGAGCCGTTTAAGGCCAAACCAAATTATTCCTTCAGCACATTTTAAACAATCCCTTAAAGACCTCTTTTTCTTGGCTATGTTTCCAATCTTGGCTTATCACTATAATATTTCATGCTCCATGCTTCTGAAAAAATTCAATATTGAAGAACAAAGTAATCCAGAGCTTTACTTCATTTCAGTCTTTTTATGTCCTAGGGCTGTCCCAACTCAATGACCCAGTTTTTATTGTGTCACATTTCTCTGTTGCTGACTGTGACCAGCTTGCGTAATCCTTTTCCTGTCTCTTATCGGTTTTCCCTTAATTAAAAAAAAAAATTTTTTTTTTTTAATTCTTTGCACTTCTCCTTTCTCAGCTTTTAGATTTTTTTTCCTCCTTGGGAGACTCAGTTTTCCTGTGGTAGCTACTCAGAAACACAAAGATGTATGGGTAACAGGTCCATAAATCTGTTCTTGTCAAAGTTTTTATTATACTATCTTTAGAATTGTGGGTATTGAATGGCAGAAAGTGGATATTATAATTTGGCAATATGCATCAAGGGTCCTTAAAAATGTTCATACCCAATGATCTAGCAATTTTACTAGTTTATTAATTAAAAAGAATATCTAAGATATGAAAAAAGCCATATGTATGAGATATTCATTACAATGTCATGTATAAAAGCAAAAGGAGAAAAAAACACAAATACCAAACAATAGGAGAGAAGTTCAATTGCTGCCTATCTACCTGATGGAATATTATGCAATCGTATGATTGTATGACTATGTAGAAAGATGGGTAAATGTTTATAATGTTCTCAGAAAAGCAGGATACAAAACTCTAAGTGCTGAAGATCACAACTGTTTTGTTGTTGTTGTTGTTGTTAATCCTCACCCAAGGATGTTTTTCTATTGATTTTTAGATAGGGAGGGAAGGAGGGAGGGAGGGAGGGAGGGAGGGAGGGAGGGAGGGAGGGAGGGAGGGAGGGAGAAACATCAATGTGAGAGAGACACATCAATTGATTGCCTCCTGCACCACCCCAACCAGGGTCAGGGATTGAGCCTGCAACCCAGGTATGTGCCCTTGACTGGGAACACAAACCCACAACCCTCTGGTTCGCAAGCCGATGCTCTAACTGCTGAGCCAAACTGGCCAAGGCACAGCTATGTTTTATAAAAGTATTTACAAAGTGAGAACTGCAAGGAAACATGGCATTTGCTAATAGTTGTTTTTTTAGGGTGGTGGAATTATAGATATTTATCTTTTCTTTATTCTCAAAATCTTGATTCATTTTCTTTTAAAATTTAAGTTTTTAAAAAATATCATCTTAGCTGATGCAAATTAAAAATAATTTAGGTAGGTTATATCAAATAACACTTATAAAAGACTATTTTAGACAGAGTTCTATTTAAGTCTAATAACCTAGCAACTTGGGGAAGGGAGTGTTCAATAAGACAATCAGTATGTCATTGTGTTCACCATTGTGTGCAATCCTCAAAAGAATGAATTAGGAAAACACTTTTGTTATTTTAAAATGTAAAATAAAATTATTTTTTGAAACTTTATTTTTTTTTGTTAATCCTTACCCAAGGATACTTTTTCCATTGATTTCTAGACAGAGTGAAAAGGAGGGAGGCAGAGAGAGAGAAACATCGATGTGAGACACATTGATTGGTTGCCTCCCACATGGCCCCCATCTGGGGCCAGGGATCAAACCTGCAGCCGAGGTACATGCCCTTGACCAGGAATTGAACCTGAGACCCTTTTGTCCAAGAGCCAGTGATCTCACCGCTGAGCTAAACAGGCCAGGGCTATTTTTTGAAACTTTAATATGTTCTACTTAAATTTATTTTACTACCACTGACTTTAGCTAGGCCAGCTTGTTCTCTCTGAAGTTCTTCCTCTAGCCCAACCCTTTGAATTTTCCACACTGTCTTCAGAGAGAAACCTTTCTGAAACTTAAATCTCTTTGTAATTATTTTGCTGTTAAACTATTCAGGGATTCAGCATATTAAAATCTTTTTTTTTTTTTTTTATCCTCACCCGAGGACATTTTCCCATTTTTTGTTCCAATAGAGTGAGAAGGGGAGAGAGAGAGAGACATCGATGTGTCACATCGAGTGGTTGCCACCCGCACGACCCAACCAGGGCCAGGGACAAACTGCAACCAAGGTACATGCCCTTAGCGGGAACCGAACCCGTGTCTCTCTGGACCGCAGGCCGACACTCCAACCACTGAGCCAAACCGGCCAGGGCCAGAATATTAAAATCTTTAGCATAGTGTACTAGCTCCTGTCAAGCTTCTCTACCTTATTCTGTGCCCCTTCTTCTCATGTACCCTTCCCGCCAGCATTACCAAAGTACTCACAGTCACTATTATTTGTCTCTTATTCTTGAAATTAACACTTAATATCCAGTCATTCTTTAACTCTCAAGTGTTACTTTCAGAAGTTTCCTAGATTCCTCATCTTTCGTGTGTCCCTTCTCTGTAATCCTACAGTACCCCTGTAATCCTATAGTACCCCCGTCACACTGTGCTTTCAATGATTTTCTTATCTGCCTTTTCCCCAGACAGAAAACTTCGGTTATTGTGCGGACAGTCAAGTTCCAGTGATTGTGTATTTGTTTATTTATTTATTTAATTAAATGTATTGGGGTGACATTGGTTAATAAGATCAAGTGTACATTTCTGTGATACATGTTCTGTATATTGCATTGTGTGCCCACCACCCAAAGTCAAATCATCTTCTGTCACCATATATTTGGCCCCCTTTACATTTTACTACCCCCCCCCTTCCCTCTGGTAACCACAATATTGTCTGTGTCTATGAGTTTCAGTTTTATACCACATAAAAGTGAAATCATACTGTTTTTAGTTTCTTCTGACTTATTTTGCTTAGCATAATATTTTCAAGGTCCATCCATATTGTCACAATGGCAGTATTCATCTTTTCTTATGGCTGAGTAGTACTCCATAGTGTTTATGTACTACATTTTCTTTATCCAATCATCTGTCAAAGGACATTGGTTGTCTTCACGTCTTGGCCACTGTGAATAATGCTGCTATGAACATAGGGGTGTATGTGTTTAACAGCACCCCTATCTCCCATGTCCCCTCCTTGTGCTCTAACAATGAGGAATAGTGAATTGTAACTGATAAAGAGGAAGGGCCAGTGTGCTAATTCTGAACACTTAAGAGCTAGGAAAAAAGAGGGAAGATATGCTGGAAGCCAAGGTACTGATCAGGTAGAAACTCCTTTAATACACCTCCCCGATGAAGTCAGACTTTTTTCTACTTTGTCTTGCAAATATTTTACCTTCCACATGAGAGCACATCTTCTTTGTCTGCAAACCCTCCACTATTCCTTGCACATACTAAACATTCAAACATATATTAATTAAAATCCAATTTTAAAAAATCATTCTGATTTACAGAAATTTACATCTACCTTGTCTGTGATGAGAACGACTCTGGAAGAAAAAATGTGAAATACAAAATATTTGTGAAGCTCAACATCTAACTAGAAATGTTTAGAACAGTGTAATGAATCCCTGAAAAGATGTAATAAAATTAAGGATACAGAAACTTATTCAAATAAAATAAAGGACTCCTTAAATTCCAAATGTGCTGACATGTAAATATCTTCTCAACCTGAATTTGTATATGCTTACATAGGGAACCAGGTATACCCTAACAGAAAATTTTGGTTAACAAAGAACTTATATGCATATATGCATTACCCATAAACACAGACAACAGGGTGGTGAAGGCCTGGGATGGGGTGGGAACCAGGAGGAGGGGGAAATGGAGGGGGGAGGAAGAGGGGACATCTGTAACATTCTCAACAATATATATATTTTTTTAAAAGAAAAAGAAAATATTGGTTAAGCCTAACATAAAATTAAGATTTTTACCATTTAAATGAAAAACAAATGAATTTGTCATGTTCTCAATTGACTTTCTTAGTATCTTTCCCCCACTCTTATTATATCTACATTTTAAGCAATATAGTTGTTATAGCAAAAACAAATTTTTTTGGAGAATTTTAATGAATCAAATTTCTTTTTCCAAAAATTGCAGTCTTTGAAATTTTTTATGACTCCAGTATTTTAGCTATTAATCTCTTAATCCTAAATTAAAGTTTAAATGTATCGGAGTCTCCATTATTTAAAACAAAACTCTGGAAACAATTGTTAAATAGAAAAGTCTTTCTTGCTCATCCCCTTAATGTATCTGCTATATAGATTTAGTGTTCTTATTGTATATTTCTTTAGAATCACCCATCTATTCCTATATAGAAACAAATGCAAAGAAATATGTTTTAGGAAACTTTCCACACAGAATTCTACTTTGAATTTCAAATAATTGGAGTACACGTAGTGCCTATTTTGGTATAAAGGAAAGGTTAATCAGCCAGTGCATGGGGTGGGGGTGGGGGTATCTTTAAACTGTGTAATAAGAAAAAGCAGAAAGAAAATTAGCATAGTTCGGTTAGGTGTAATTAAGGGAGGGAAGTGAAAATATTTTCAAAAAGTAAGCAATATAAGAATAAATAAGGTAAAACATGGAATCCTAAAATGAGCATGAATTACAGAGAAGGGAAATTGGAAAGAAAAATGTTTAATGTAGCTGCAACTGTTTCTCATTAAAATACCCTACTTATAAAGCCACATGTTCCTATAGTAAAGAAGAAAAATTTCATCTGTCCCTCCTTATCTAGTTTTGTTTTCTGCAATTTCAGTTACCCATGGTCACTGAAAAATTTCAGAAATAACAATTTTTAAGTTTTAAATTGTGCCCCGTTCTGAGTAACACGATGAAATCTCTTGATGTCCTGTTCTGTCCTGCCTGGGATGTGAATCATCCCTTTTGTTCAGCATCTCCACCCAGTAGTTGCTACCCGCCCATTAGTCAGTTATCAGATCAACTGTCATAATATTGCAGTGTTTGTGTTCAAGTCACCCTTACTTTACTTAATGGCCCCAGAGGGTAAGAGTAGTGATGCTGACAATTAAGATATGCCAATGAGAAGCCATGAAGTGTTTTCTTTAAGTGAAAAGTTGCATACAGTACAATGTTTTGAGAGAACCATAGTCATATAACTTTTATTAGTTTATTGTTATAATTGTTCTATTTTATTATTACTTACTGTTGCTAATTGTTTACTGTGCCTAATTTATAAGTTAAAATTTATCATTTATACACACACACACACACACACATATATGTATATATGAAAAAACATTGTATACATTGTGTTCAGGGATATTTGAAGTTTCAGGCATCCACTGGGGGTTGTAAAACGTACCCCCTGCAGATAAGAGGTGACTACTCTAGATCCCTTAAGACAATCCTATAATCACTTTAAAATAATGTTCAGATACACCCAAGCAATTTTGTCCTTACCAGAATTTCCTTCAATGGGTTTTTCCTATTAGCAAGGGAACATGCTTATTTAAGATCATGAATATAGTCCCTTTGGTTACCTTAGCTCTCACTATTAATAGACACCCTGGTTTTCAAATGAAGCTTCATATAAATTTATTGGGTATGAAACAGATCTTCAGTGAATAATGATTTAGTAGATGAGATCACACGGATTAATGTGCTTAGTACAGTGCCCACTACATAGAAAGTTCTCTACTATATTTTTCTCCTTCCATTCCTTACAACTCTATAATAAAAATAAACCCATGCCTCAAAAGAACTGTACAAGACAAGCATAATTTGTTACAAATACTTTAAATAAATATTTTATAATTTATTGTAAAGACATTTGGTATACCACCACCACAAATACTGAACATGGTTTTATGAAAATTACAATTTTATTATAAAAATAGTTCCTAAATACCATGATAATGCATTTGTTTTCTTCTTAATCTCAGGATAACAGCTGAGACTAGGGTTATGATTTAACCTTAGCAGACATGGAAATGTGGTGTCCTGGTTTACAAAGTCAGACACACCAGAATACTGATAAGCATTTCCATGTGCTTCAGATATACTGCCAAGATATAGATAGCTAACAAATTGAAAAGAAATACACACCTTTCTAACTAGAAATGTTATAGGTACTAACAAAATATTACAGTAAAGCTGTTAAACTGTGACCACCAACACAGAATTCTACACACACCTGAGAAAGCCAACCACCACCAAAAAATTAAGATATTTGGCATCAGGTGTTAGGGCTGACTTACTTCTTTCATGTACTACAGTCTATCATGCCCTCAACCTTGGAATTTCAGAGCTAGAGAGTATACAATTCCAAACACTTGCTTTGTCCTTTTTCTCATGCTAGATCTCTGATGTTTTCCTAACTCTTGGCAGTCTTCTAGAATGTCCTTACAGATTTTCACTAAACGGTACTGGGTCAAATCTCTTCTATACAGGATCTCATTGTTCTCATGCCTCCTCTATTCGCAGAAAGACGGTCAAAGTCTTGGTGGTGGAAACGAGTTGCCAACTGATTTACCATTTTCCTCAAGGTAAGAAATGCTGAAACAACTTGGAAAGTAAGGAACATAGTGAAGATGATGTGTACGGCTTTTTCCAAGGGCAGATTTGTTAGGCCTTCATTAAAGAGCAAGAAAAGAATTAAAGGCAACTGCAACAGGAGGCTCAAAAGCCAAAAGCCAGCTAACTCAGGAACCTGAAATGACACACATTAAAAGTAATCAGATCAGTAAAGTATACTCTTTTGTTTATACAGATAAACAAATACTTAGCACTACTGTGAACCTACATTGTGAGCTCTGTAACTCCAAAGGAGTATAACATGGTACCTGTCCTCAGAGAAATTAGATTAGAAAAGTAATTTATGTGACAATCCTAGAATATTATACTTTAGTGAATAATTAAATGTACCACTTCGAAATACAGACTAAATGCTACAAGGGAGTGATTAGGGTACATGAGAGAATTCAGGGTGTAGACTTTTAAAGTTGGGTAGGAGGAAGAGGAAAGAAGGTAATTAAGCAAAGATGTGGGATGAGCATGACTGGGAATCAACATGTCAGCCTGGAAGGGATGCTTAGTTTAGGAAATAGCAAGAAATACAGTGAGATAGGTTGGGTTGGGCCTAATTATGAAGGGCCTAGAAAACCTCAGGAACCTCTAGGTATGATCCCTAAGCTCCAGGAACTAACTATAAATGCTTAGGTAGCATGATGATTCAGAAAATATTTGCCCAGCACAGGAAATGAGTTTATAATTTCTCCTCATTTTCATTTATTTATTTATTTATTTACTTATTTATTAAGACTCATATTGAATATTTATTGGCTTATGAGCACACACCAGATGCTGCACAAATCCTAGGCAGAAGGATAAGATTTATAGACATGTTTGGAAAAAAGCAAACAGAAAAGGGGGGCAGGACAGATGGAACATGCTAAAGCCGAGTTGAACAAGTGAAGCTTGACTGATGAAGCCTAGCTCCACCATGGTACTCATGGGCCAGGGTGCAAAATACAAGACCAAAAAAAAAAAAAAAATAGGAGAAGGAAACACAAGGTACACTGGAGCACAAACAGAAATGTGCCAAGGCAGTGAGATTATCCAGGCCAGAGGAGTGATTTAGAACTTGTAGGGTGAGGGCAACATCTTTGAAGTAAGTTCAAATTCGAGGTGGAGGTGAGCATTGGACCGATGAGGATAATTTAGCAATCATGCTGTTAAGAGCATTGCTTTATCCAGGGTTTCTAGGTAAGCAGCCCCTATAGTGACACAGATGCCCTTCTGATCCCAGTGACCATGGGAATAAATAAGTGTAGACAGAGCAGGCTCCTCGTCTACTAGAGATGGTCCCGCACATGCGCCACGGTGGTCTTCAGCCTTAGCCAGGTCTTCTCTGCAGTGGGAATGATCTGGTTGGCTGGCAGGAGGAAGCCATAGTGCCTAGTATCTCTTAACTCAAAAGTTAATACACACTTCATGCTATTATCATATGCCCAGTCAACGCTGCTCCCGCTAGCGTGATAGACAGGGTGGAAGTAGAACCCACGTGGTACCGAGGGCCACACAGGGAAACCAGAGCTTTGGCTGCAGCCCTGCCACCTTATCCTTGGCAGCTGCTGAGGGTAAAGCAGGCCTGGGGCTGGGTGGGAGGCAGCCCATTACTCACCCTCCTCATTTTCTTTTAATCTTCACCCAACATTATTGATTTTTAGAGAGCGGGGGGGGAGAGAGAGAGAGAGAGAGAGAAACATTGGTCAATTGCCCCCAACCAGGGATTCAACCTGCACCTAGGTATGTGCCCTGACCAGGAATTATACCGGAAACCTTTTGCTGCATGGGATGACACTGACCAACTTAGCTACCTGGCCTGGGCCTCCATTTTCTTATTCAGGATCCAAATAAATATGTTTAGTTGACTGAGTATTTTCAAAACTGATGAGAAGGGGAAAATGATCAATTCTTAAGTGCTTACTATGTTTACGTACTTTATATAAATGGTTTCATTTAATCCCAATAAAGTTGTGAAGTAAATATCCCCCATTTTATTTATTTATTTATTTATTTATTTCCCCCATTTTACATATAAAGAAACCAAGGCTGGTGAGATTAAGCAAATAGACCACAGTAACTAAAGAGGTAAAGTTGGAGCCAGGCCTTAACTACAGGCCTTTGCTCCCTGCACCACAGCTCACTGCCCTTTCCTTGCTATGAAAACCTTACTGTGTTTATGTGTAGCACTGAAAGAAAAGAAAGAAAAGCCTACCTTTTCCTGTAGGTTGCCCATGTAGCCCAGATACAGCCTGATAGCTTCAATTAAGGTTATTAGGATGATAACAGTGACCACAATGAATTTGTAGTAATCAGGCAAAACTGGATACTAAAAAAACAAAAGTAAACATGCTTGTTAAATCTCACATATAGTAAAACTGACCTGAGATAGAAAAAAAAAATATTAAGAACTTTAATTTTATTGACAGTGCCAGGGACGGAGAGAAGAGACCTTAGCAGAAGTATTAAAGTATAGACTTACTTTCATATGAAGCATTATAATGCTGCTGACCCACCAAAGTGGGAAAAAGTAAGCGTTAAAATAAAGTGACATCTGCAATGCCAAACTGGAAACCATTTCATTATCTACAATAGAAATAGAAAAGGGACAAACTCTTATTCCTGGTCTATGCCCTATAAATCCTTTGGTTCCTCAGAATAACTATTATATTGGCTCAACAAAACTCCAAATTTTAAGCCTCTTTATATTCATTGCCAGTGCAAGGAAATATTCACCATCATACTGTTTAGTTCATGTATTGACTACCTGGGGGTATGTTTCAAATTTTTCAATTACTTTAGCATTTTGCCATTATAATCTGCTGACTTTTTGCACACTACTGGTATAGATTAAATGTAGAATATCAATATAAATCCTATTGAGATACAATAATTATTATTACTGCCTTTGTAGAGCTCTATGTAAAGAGCCCATAAAATAAACATATAACATCCATTATACTACTTTCTCACATATAAATATCATACAAAAGAGATTCTCCCCAAATTATAATTAGACACACACCCCTTTTCAGCATAACCTAATCCCACCCATTCATTAAGACCCAATTAAATGCCACTTTTCCCATTTTTTTTTTTTCTTGATCGTATTCTCCCACTTCAGTAGAAATCTCATTCCCTTGTAGGCACTTATCACTCTAACCTGTGTATAAGAAGTGTTAGCAAAGAACCATACTCCCCCTCACTGAAAACAGTCTGGCCTACAGAACAGATCATGAGCTTTGGAGTTCAAGTAAACCTGGAATTCCCCAAACTCCCCAGTAACTCTGGATGCCAGACTTGAGATGTTATTTAACCTCTTTGACCTTCAATTTCTTTATCTGTAAAATGGTAACATTAAAGTTATCTCACAGATTGCTTGTGAGGATTAGAGATACTATAAATTATTTCACCCTAGCACCATGCCTGGCACTTAGGATGCACTCAATAAATATATGTCCCCTTTCCTTTTCTTTCACTTATATGCAACCTCAATATAAACACAGACCACATTCTAATTTTGAGACCCCCAGAGAACCTTCCCTCTTGCTTTAAACATGGTAAATGTCAACTACACAGATGCAGAATGAATTGATAAGGACATTATCAGTGTAGCCATTTGTGGTACATGAGTTTCATTTATCTAAAGCTGATTTATATAATATTTTGCTTTTGTGTAAAGAAGAAGGATCCTAAATTGAGAATTTAAAAAAATAATTGAGCCCTACATTTTACTAAATTCTAACAGGAGCAGAAACATATTTAGAAATCGATTGCTCTACAAATGTAAGAATTTACAAAGGCTCTAAAATAAATTTCTTAAAAATAGATTTTTTTCTTTACAACTTAGTATTTAATATCTATCATTTAATAATTTTAAAATATAAGGAATGATCATGGTCTCACAGCAAAGTTTTCTTTAGCTCCATGAATAAATATGCCTGATTATTATGATATATTCTTTTTTTTTTTTTTAATCCTCACCTGAGGAATATTTTTCCATTGATTTTTTTTTCAGACAGTGTAGGAGGGAGGGAGGGAGAGAAAGAGAAAGAGATACATCTGCTGAGAGAGATACATAGATTGGTTACCTCCCACTAGGCCCCAGCAGGGGTGGGGATCAAACCCACAATGGAGGTACTTGCCCTTGACCAGGAATCAAACCCAGGACTCTTCACTGCACAGGCCTGTGCTCCAATGGCTGAACCAAACCAGCCAGGGCTTATGATCTACTTTTTAAAATTGTTATTATGATCTCCTTTGCTTGCACCTATTACATTACCACTGATAAAGGAATGAATTCTTAAAATCTGTTAGATCTGAAGGTAACTCACCATCCTAGGATTTTTTTTTTTCATAATAATAATATAACCCTTGGTCAGCTGTGGATATGGTAATGATATACACTTGTAATTGTAGTACAAATATCCCGATCCACAAAGAAAATGTGGAAAAATAATGATAAATTAGTTAAGTTGAACATTTTAACACCTTTGGAGCAAAAACTGTAGCCAAATTTTGCAAAGAAGTTTTTGTTAAAAATTTTGTATAATATCTTAAGAGTTATGCTATGCCTGTATTTCAGCAGATCAGACTTATAATCACGCAACTGAAAATCAAGTTAATATGTAAATGAACCTTGAAAGCACAGACATGAATTTACTAAATTCTGCAGAAGTACAAGATGAGTTCTGTAAATGGAATTTAAATTAAAACATTTATAATATAAATCAGGGGTATGCAAACTACCAGCCAGCTGCCTGATTTTGTATAGCAAGTGAGCTGAGTGGTTTTTCACATTTTTAAATGGTTGGGGGGGAAATTTTAAAAAATAATATTTTTTGACACAGAAAATCTTATGAAATTCAAATTTTAGTATCCACAAATAAAGTTTTATTGGAACACTGCCATGCCTATTCAACTACGATTATCTATAACTGCCACAGAGATCTACCACCAGCAAAGTCTAAAATATTTACTATCTAACCCTTTACAGTAAATGTCTGCGGACCCCTGATACCTTGCATCATCAGATTTTAGAGCCTGTTAAGCATTAGCTTTAGAAATCAGAAACGTAAAAACCTGATTTTTTACATTATGTTTTTGTCTGTACATCCTAAACCATGAAGAGGCCTAAATGTGGGGGTCAGGCAAGTAATCAAGTTGAAAAAAATGCAACTATGGAAACGGACTTTACTTTTCTTTGACCCTTTTAAAAACTCCTAAACCAAGCAAGAGGAAAGGATTTCCATTTCCAGCAGAGTTCAGTGATAAAAGCCGTATGGATTTGGTTAACAGTATGCTGTCCATCATCATGATTTAAGAAGGGGAAGCTGTTTTGGAGGAAACGGTGTTAGTACTTTTCGTCAGGCTGCATGTAGTGGCATCATGGCATTTTGTTACCAGATTTGGTGAAAAGGTTATATACACAGGAGAGGGGAAGGAGAAGGCAAGGAAGGGGCGAGTTGTGTTGACGGCGATGTGAGTGTGGCCACTGTCACCTGGAATGGATAGCGGTTTCAAACGAGTCATTCTGCCCTCCCGGCTGCCAGAGCCGGCCTTGTGCTGGGACGTACTGGTCCTGCCAGGACAGGGGAGGGAACAGACTTCCCCGGGGAGGGCTGCGGCCGGGGAAGGGAGATTCCCTCCGCCGAGGGTCGCAGGCGCCCAGGGGAAAAGCCCCGGCCTCGCGGAGTGCGCGGGACCCGACCTGTGCGGCGAGAGCTGCTTTTGTAGTATTTACACTGTTTGGGGAAGGACACGCCATCTGGGCGGCCTGCTTGCCATTCGCTGGCCAGGCCTCCGCACGACCAGCCGCGAACCGGCGGCCCCAGGGACCAGGTAACGTCCCCGCCGGCTCTCGGCGCGGCCTCGCCTCCAGGACGCTTCCCGCACTGCGGCGGGCGGCTGACGGCGGAGCCGCCATGTTAGGTCCGGGCAAACCCGCCGCTGCAAACCCGCGCCCGGTCCTCGGCGGCCGCTCCTGCTGGGCCTCGGCCACTCACCCGGACCTCCGCTGTCCTCGGGCCCGGTTCGGTTTGAGTCGCTGAACACTGTGCGACTGAAGTTCCCCAGCCGCAGGCGGACAGGTTCCGGCAGCTCCATGTCCGGCTCTCAGCACCGCTCAGGGCTCGGAGTGCGGTTCCCACGGCAACCGGGCGGTGCTGCGGGCTCAGCCGGCCGAGGTGCGGGGAGTGAGCCCCGCGTGCGTCTGGGAGGGAGGGAGGGGTGTGGGGACAGCAGGTTCCCGCTGAGAGCCGCAGCCGGATGCACATCGGTAGATTCCTTCGTCCTGTTGAAAGCCCCAATATCTTAAAAACAAGTAGAAATAATAGTAAGTGCCCTGGGTTTGGATTGGGACCCAAGGAGCCCTCACACCTTGCTTGTGGGATGCAACCTTTCTGGAAGGAAGTAGAGAACGAATGCAGAGCTTAAAGAATGTTCATGACCCAGGAGCTCCATTTTAGGACTATATATGTACAATATAGAATATAGAATATCCTTAATATATATAATAATAAATATTCATTATGTGTATGCACACCTACACATTTGATGGAATACATTGCTGCAGTTTTTAAAAACATGTTTGCAAGGACTATTTGATAAGAATTAACTTCAAATAAAAATAAGTAAACCTAAATAGAAACGAACCTAATTTAGCAAAGTGTGTGCTTGTAAATAGGTGGGGAGGAGGTGGCACAAGCACAGTGGCTTCAAAGGACTAGAAGGAAATAACTCAAAATGTTAATGGTTATTTCTGGATAGTGGGTTTTGAGTGATTTAAAATTTTCAAAACATTTCTGTATTTTTCAGCTTCCTCTCAAATAAGATTTTTTTTTTTTTAACTATTTAAGTATAATATAATTTTTCATCTGTGGTTGAGAATCCATGTATGAGAAGGGCTGACAAGTTATACTCTGGCAGGTCAGTACTCCTAACCCCAGCATTGTTCAAGGGTCAACTGTACATACAGAAAAGGGCACAAACTGAATTTACATGTGTAACCAGCACTTAGATCCAGGAACAGAACCCTACCAGCACATCCAGAAGCTCCCCCTTCCAATTCCCTAGGTCACTAAACACCCACTTCTGACCTTTCCTGACCTCTAACAGCAGACTTTTGCCTATTTTATGATTTATATAAAAGTAATCATATAGTAAGTGCTTTTCAAAAAAAAATCTAGCTCTCTAATAATTAAAATTATTTTTATGAAATCGCTTCATAATAGAGTCTTTCTCCTTGCTGTGTGTGACCCTAACTCAATAAGTTTATCAATTCTACTGTTGAGGAGCATCTATGTATCTTCTAGTTTGGAACTATTATGAATAGTGACAGTCTTGGTAAAAAGATGCCTCTTCGTAAACATTTTTATGCACGTGTGTTGAGTTTATTCCTAGGTGTGAAATTGCTGCTTGAAGAGATATGATCCAACAGTTTTCCAGAATAGTTGTACCAATATCTACTGTTTCCAGCAATGGATAAGCATTCCTTTGACTCCAAATCCTTCACCAACACTTCCTGTTTTCCACCCTTTCCATTCATTCTGATGCATATGTGGTGAACAGTATTTTTACAATCAAAAGGAAAACCACACACATTTATATAAATCAAGAGGAAGTTATGGGAAGAAATAGCTACAAGGCTAGAATTTCAAAATAATTCAGCTAATGTTTATTTTATTCCTACTACTTTTTGGGACATTGTACTAGGCTAATTAGGGATACAGTTCCTCTCCATCAAGAAGCTCAGCCCAATGAGAGAGTAAGAGACATGGAAACAAGTAAGTATGATATATATTAGTAAAGATGTTAGGGGAAATCTGGCTAACTTCTATTTCTCTTCAAGATGGAGCTCAGGCTTCAGTAGCTCCAAAAAGGCTTCTAGGACCTCCCTGGAAGTGCCCTCCTCTATGTTTTTCAAAGCATCTTTCTCTGTGTTACTTTGGTCATAGTGCTAGTCATGTTGGGCTATAATAATCTGTGTCTGTTTCTCATGCTAGTTCACAGCTCTTTAAGGTCAGGGATGGGCTTTCCTCTTTATATTCTGAACACTAGCACAGTGCCTGACCTAGAGTGGGAGCTGGATAACTAATGAATGACTAAAGAGAATGAAAGGTCTAAAGACCACTCCCATATCTTCCCATTTCTAGTCAGGGACTTAGCCAGCTCTTATACAAGGTTCAGTTCATAGAATTAAGAATTGATATATTAAAACACAGTGAATTATAGCAATAAAAATGTTTTAACTTAGCAATAACAAAAAATCTATTTTTATCTATTAAAATAATGAATATTTTTATAAAGGACACAGTGAAGCAGGAAGCCTTATGCTTTGCTGATTGGATTATTTGAACAATCTTACTGAGGAAAGCAATTAGTAACATGTACAAATTACTTAAAAATATTTCTACTTCTAATACAATGACTCAAGTTTTAAGGCTCTATTTTGGGAAAATCATAAAAACAAAGTTTTATACATCAAGATATTATTTCCACCATTATTGGTATTAGTGTCGGGGGTGGGGGGAATGTGTGGGAGCATTTGATTTGCTCAACCACAAAGCCTAACTAAGCAGATTATGATGTTCATGATGAGATGTTGGGCTGTAGTGGAAAAGATATGCTTGGAAGCAGAGAGGGCTGTGTTCAAATCCCCTGACATTTTCACTTTACCCACATGAGAGCTGTGCAATTGATTTCAGACCTCTGTTTTATAAAGTGAGAATAATGATAACTTCCTGTCATGGTTGATGTGAAGATTATATCATTAGGTAAGGTTTTCTATAAGTGATAGCTTTCATTAACACATCTATTAAAATGATGTTTGTAAAGAAGAAATATCTACAGAAGAGTGAAATCATTCCAGCTTTCAATTTTCTGAATTCAACTGCACCTTTGAGGCAATACCTCTATTGCCTTTCTAGTAAAGACAGAGGATGCGATTAACCAAGTTTATCAGAAGCCTGAGTGGATTATTTTTTCTTTTTATGTTTTTTCCTGTATTGATTTTAGAGAGAGAGGAAGGGAGAGAGAGAGAGAGATAGGAACATCAATGAGAAAGAATATCGATTGGCTGCCTCCAGCATGCCTCCCACTGGTGATTGGGCCTACAACCTGGGCATGTGCCCTGACCAGGAATTGAACCAGTGACCTCTTGGTGTATGGGTCGATGCTCAACCACTAGCCACACCGGCTAGGTGGCTTGCTGTTTAGTAGAGGAGTGGGAGGCAGGTTGGTGGTCATCCAGCCTAATGAAGATATAAATTATTTCTACTTGATATTAATAAAAGATTTACAAATAAATTTTTAAGTGAACATATTATTCAATTTACTGCCTTAAAATGAACTGTGAGACAGTTTTAAGTATTTAGATACATTCAAAAGATAAGTTATATATTTGGGTATAATATCTTCAGATATGATTCCAATCAGCATCCATATTTTTAAAATCTCACACTAAATAACCTGAAATGTAACCTAATAATCCTCAAGTTGTAATGGCTAATCAAAACCTTTCTGAACCTCTAGTACAATATATTCTATTCACAACACTTTCAAAGGTTTATAAGAAAGAGCCAGGCTATGAATTACATAGAAAGTCAAATCTCATAAAAGGAATTTTTCCTACTATATTGATATTTCAAGGCCGACTTTAATATTTTGTCTTCAAAGACATCCCCATTGAGCGTTTTTATTAGAAAATTCTTTCCCCTTTAAAATGCTGTTTATATTATAGTTTTGTGGTTCTGTGGCATTTCTTTGTGTTAGCCTACCACAGTGTTCATCTGTTACAGCAAGCTGCTGCTCCATGCATCAAACTATGTGGGAGATGGGAATGACAAGCCCAGGGAGACTGGTAAAGAATAACCTGCTTAAGGAAACCTCAGATCTGTCACATGAATTGTAATACTGGTTAGAAGCAAGTGACCATTTTATTAAATAAGTAATAGTTTCATTTTTAGTACTGACAGCATTACTGTACTAATAATATTTTTATATTATACTATGTAAAACATAAATTCTGTTCTCCTTTCTGAAAGAAAATTAATCTTCACTTTTTATTGACTATAATAAAATATTATCCTACCCCTTTCCACTAAATATTAATATAGTAAACCCACTTTTTGTTTTGGATTGTGGTTCTGTGGTTTTAACGAATAGTCTACATTGTCTTCAATAGCATACTGTACATTGCTTAGTCATATTCATTTTTGATCCCCAGTCACATAGAAATTGTAAGAGTAGGAATCATATAAATGAACAATTTGGTATTAAAATGAAAGGTGTACACATAGGTAAAGAGTTCAAGTAAATTTGAATTATTATATTTATGTAGATGGATAACACAACTCTCCAAATTTTCTTGAAGGTGAATTTGCTTTGTAAAATAGAAAATCATTGCAGTTATTCCTATATCCCATTCCCTTTCCCACTGTATTTTTTAGTTAATACAGAATTGTTCTTTTTTTCCCAACACATGCTGTGAAGATTAACAGAAGTTCCAGGTGGTTGAAACAAGTGTAATAGGAGGTTAACAGGGATGTCCTGGGCCCTGGCTAAGCTACAAAGCTGTGCACAGAAGGGGGTGAGTTCACATTTCTAAGTCCAGGAACCACCTCTAGTTAGGCCAGCCTGCTCTGAAATGTCAGTGCAGTCGTCTTCACTCTCCACTCCCCTTCTCTGTGATTTCACTTTCTGCAGTTTCAGTTACTGGAAATCAGCCTTGCTCCAGAAATAGTACCTGCACATCCAACTGTGCACATTGTCATGGCTTGATGACCCAGGTTCACCAAAGCAGATGATCCTCCTTCTGACAGATTGTCAGAATGTCAGTAGTAGCCTCAAGTTACATCATAATGCTATGTCACTCGCCTCACTTTATCTCATCACATAGGCACTGTATCATCTCATGCCATTACAAGAAGAAGGGTGAGTACAGGACAGTAAGATATTTGAGAGAGCCTTGGCTGGTTTGGCTCAGCAGTTAAGTTCCAGGTGGTTGGAAACAAGTGTAATAGGAGGTTAACAGGGATGTCCTGGGCCCTGGCTAAGCTACAAAGCTGTGCACAGAAGGGGATGAGTTCACATATTCTAAGTTCAGGAACCACCTATAGTTAGGCCC